GATCGGCAGCTGGGGGGCAGTGCCTGGCAGTGGGGGGGCAGCCTCTACCAGGGGGTTTGTCAACCCTATGAGGTTGTGCAGAAGTCTCACACAAAAAAAATTCATTTCATTGCACAAGAGCCTTCTTCAAGTGCAATAGAATTTAAGGAAGGTAATAATACAGCAACCGTTTATACAAGAGTTTGGTAGGCTCTGGGCATGGTTGGGTGAGGATTTTTTCAGAATTTCTGCAGGCACTAGTGTGGGAAATGGCAGTACCCTTGTGAAAGAGAGGGCAACTGTGTCCTCAGTCCCATACTTACAGACTCATATGCACAAGCGCTACTCAAGATGAATCATTTCCTCACTAAGTATCACATTACTGAACAACCTAATTCATCTTCACAGCTGATGAATAAGCCAGTTTTATCCCTCAAGTTGAAGGCAACCCTTCTGACAAGCATGGAACCGGGGGGGGGGGAACAGACCCAGGGAAAATGGCCATTTTGAGTCAGCCAGTCACAATCATATGTGTCCGTTATGTAAAACTGGGTCTTCCATAGATGAAAGCAGCCTTTTTTCCCAACAGGAGTTTAAAGAAATGTTAATACCTAGTTACTTTGGAACTAGTAACTTTGGAACTCCCTCCACACCAGTTTCCCTTTATCATTGTCTTTAACCAAGGGAAAATTTTCTTGTTTGATTTGTTGTTCCCTCACTAACTTTTATTAGTCCTTCTTCCTAGTTGTTGCTGTTACGCATGTTTATGTAGTGTGTTTAAACATTTTATTGAATTGTTGACATATTTTATTTACAGTTAAATGCCATTTCAACATCTCAATATTTTAATATAGAAAAGTTTTAATGTTCTGATGTTCACCACATCAAGGATGCTATTTAGGTGGGAAGGAGGCATAGGAACATTTAAAATAAATAAATATTTAAAGTGGCAGATACATGCAACATTCTGCAGCTTAGTGGCTAAAAAGGTGAGTTAGGAAACACCTGCCTTTATCTTCTAATATCTCAATCAACAGGAGGACTTTGGAAATGCACAGTTCTATTAAACAGGCCTGTAGAGGGGGAGGGGATTTGTGGGCAATGCCCCCCCACACACAGATGAGAGCCCGCAAACAAAAAATGGGGGGGAAAGTTTGGAAAATGGAAAATGTATATGGGGTTTCCAAAATGACCCCAGGCACAGTCAGGGAAGTTTCAGACACCATTTCTTTTTTTCAGACCAAAACAATTAATAGGTTTTTGAAAATGCAAATAAAATAATAAAATGAAATTGCATAAAATGAAATAAAATTACAAAATGCAAAAGAGAGAGAGTTGGAGATTCCCCCCTCCTAACTTACACAGAAAAGCAGCCTGGAATTGAATCTCTCCCATCAAAAGGACTAGAGGAGGACTAGAAGTCGCAGTGGAGCTGGAGCTTGTTCTGCTGCTTCAAGAGGAATAGCAGGCATGGCTGGAGTGCCCCCCCCCCCGATTTCCCCATGCCCCACCAACCAAATTTTCTGGCTACGCCCCTGCTCTTAAGAATGTAAGAACCATCCGGATGGATCACCAAGGGTGTAGACTTTCCAATTTCCCGGGGGGGGCTGGGGCTGGGCCAGAGGCATTGCTTTGCTAGGAGCAAGGGTGGCTCCCGGGGGAGGCTGAGCAGCTTCCTGAAAATTTCGGCGGGGGCTGAAGCCCCGCCGCCCCCACGAAGATTACGCCTATGGATCAGACCATCTAGTCCAGCATCCTGTTTTACACGGTGGCAACCAGCTGCCCTTGAGGGCCAACAAACAGTGCACAGATGCTCACACTTTTCCCGGAAGTTGCCTCCTAGCACTGGCATTCAGAGGTTCACTCAGTCTGGATGTGAAAGATCACGTCAGTCACCATGGCTAGTAGCCACTGATGGACCTATCTTTCATGAAACTGTCTAATCCACTTTAAAGCCATCTGTGGTAATGATCACCACTATGTCCTCAGGCAGTGAATCCCACAATTTAATTACGCATTGTTAGTCTGAATCTATTGCCCATCAGCTCCATTTTCAACCCCAAAGTTCTAGTAGTATGAGAAATAGAGGGGGAAAGTTTGCTACAGTTTGGTGTAGTGGTTAAGTGTGCGGACTCTAATCTGGGAGAACCGGGTTTGATTCCCCACTCCTCCACTTGCACCTGCTGATGTGACCTTGGGTCAGTCACAAGCTCTGGCACAGCTGTCCTTGAAAAAGAGCAGTTTGTGTCAGATTTCTCTCAGCCCCACCTACCTCACAGGGTGTCTGTTGTGGGGAGGGGAAGGGAAAGGAGTTTGTAAGCCGCTCTGAGACTCCAAGGGTGGGGTATAAATCCAGTCCTTCTTCTTCTTCCACCTGATGCCTAAATATATTTAATTGTCCCATATGTGGGTACGTAAATCTGATGATTGGGTCAATAAACAAAGAAGAGATCTTTCTACAAATCTGCAAAAAATCCCCAGGTTGGCAGAAAAAAATCTGAAATCTAAAATAAAAAGTGCATTGGGTATTAACACCCCCATAGAAGCAGTTTCTGTAGCTGTAAAAATAAATGTCTCCTGTGGCCATTGGTAGGCAACCACCAACTGTATTGCTAGCCTTCAAGCCTTGGCAAAAAGCATGGGAAGGGAGCAGCAGCTTTTCCATTGCTGTTTGGGCTTGTTGGGGCTAAGCATGAGAGCAACTATTCCACCAGGCCCAGTTCTTGCTACTTTTTGATAGCAGCCAACCCCTGTAAACCACTGTAGTGTATTGGTCCCATTATGGAGACAGCTGGGTATAGACGAAGCAAAGATTGAGGAAGATAAAAGATTAGTTAGTGGTAGGATTGCCAAGTCTTTCCGAAGTAATAGCGGGGGAGTCCAGGGCCCTCTCCGGGAGTCCTTGTGCACGTGGGAAGCGCTCGCATGGCACGATGATGTAGCCCGGAAGTGACATCATCAAGCTGGGCACATCACCGGGCAATGCTCTGGTAATCTCCCTAAAAACTCTATGGTACCATAGAGTTTTCAGGGCGATTGCTAGAGCGTCGCCCAGCAACGTGCCCAGCATGATGACGTCACTTCCGAGCTACGTCATCACGCCGGGCACGTTGGTCTGATCTGGCCACTTCTGGGGTGGGGTTCACCCCGCCGGCCAAATTCAAACCTGTGGATTTTAGCAGGGGAATCCCCGCCCCCTGGGGGGACTTGGCAGTCATAGTTAGTGGGTGGGTGGGAAGGAGAGAATGGGTGATTTCCCACAAGCGCTGCTCCGCACTCACTCTTCTCTTTGGCCCAATGGTACGTGTCAATTTCACACAAGCTGCTGCGCAACCGCCTTTTGCCCCGCAGCTTTGTGCGATTTCCCCCGCGTCTACTCAGTCCTGTTTTTTGAGGATTGAGTAGACGCAGGGAAAATAGTAGGAACCTGCGGAGCAAAATGCGGCCGCGCAGCAGCTTGTGTGAAATTGACACGTACCATTGGGCCAAAGAGAAGAGTGAGTGCGGAGCAGCGCTTGTGGGAAATAACCCAATGAAACAGGGAAAGGTGAGGATATGGGGGCTTGCAAGAAAAGGAAAAGTGGATATAATGGGGGGAGGCAGATAAAGGGGAGAATGAGGTGCCCTCTGCAAGTCCTTGCAGGTTCCCCATTGTGCAACTGGGTCTACCCCAGCCTAGCAGCCAGAACCACACAGAGTTTTCCTGGGCAGAGGCTGCCAGGGGGAAAGAAGGAGGAAAAGATGAAGACAGGAGGAAAGATAAAGGGAGGTTGGATGGTGGGTGGGAAGGAGAGAGGTAAGTAGGAAAAGAGGAGACTGCAGGGCTTTCAGAAAAGGGAAATACTGGAGAGAGGAAAACGAGATGCCTCCAGCAAATCCTTGCTGTTCCCCTGCTTGTAAAACTGTAATAACATTAAGAATCAGTATTCTCTTCATTTCTGTTAATTTTCTTTTAATATTTTTAAAGTCCTTGAGGGTTTCCTGCTTGCAATTTTATAAACCTCCCTGACTTTATAAACCTCCCCATGTTCATATTCCTTCAGTATTCCCATCCCCTCATGGCAATTCAAGTCATTAACTGGCTTTCACATTCTGTGATTCATATATTTACTGAACAAACTGCATACCATTGGTTGTTAAAACTACGTTTTCCACGCTATTAATTTGCAACGGACCTTTTATTTATTACTAAGAAAGAAGTACAATCTCAGATCTTTGGGCCCATCATCCCCAACATTCATTTTGCACAACAGAGTTCCATGCTTAGAGCCGAGGTGGGCAATTGTGAAACTGATTGGTTTCTTTTGGTCTTCCTCAGTATATAGGCAAAGACAATAAACAAGTCCACTTCCTGGAAAACCAACTGTCCAATCCCAGGATCCTTACTAACAAGATAATTTCCTTTTGTTCATTTTTTTTTCAGCAGGGCTTGGATCCAAGGACCCATTAAGATTGTAGTTGTGTTCCTTCCAAAAGCTTTCCAGAACAGATGGTACAATCCTAAACAGTGGGCGATTCTGCATTGGCTTTTTTCTCCGTTGTTATAACAAACCCACGTTGGAACGGAAATTCCTCTCTGCATTGCATGCTGCTGTCACTTTCTTTGATCACTGGATTTTATGGTACCTTCTGCATAGATTTATGGCCATTCAGGGGTGACTTTGCAGTCACTACTGCGTTGCCCCGGGGGTATTTGAATGTGGTTTTGAGCTGCACCTTTTCTGTTCTAAAGTGGGTTTCGTAAAATAACAGAGGAAAAAGCCAATGTAGAATCAGCCAGAGTTACATGCTTTTAAGCCAACTGATTTCAATGGACTTAGAAGGGGTGTAACTCTGTTTAGGATTGCACTGGCAGTAGCAGTTTCAAGGCATGACAGATGAAGTTGAAAACAAATTCTCACGGATGTATCTAAAAGAGTAATGCACAGGCTTAACATTGTAAGACCTGGTGAAATCAAAGAAATACAAGAATGATGCTTCTTTCTAAATGAAAAGACCAATGATCCCCACATTGTACTTACCTGTGAGTGCAAATGTACTTTCCAGTATCATTCAATAGAGCTGGCCAAAACTGCAAAGAAGTCCCATTCAGAACTATTCTCTTTCCTTGTCGAATTAATGTCTGTTTTCCTTCTTTTTCTCTATACCAGGTTACATTATACCCTTCATCTTGATTTCCAGGACAACAATTTGAGAAATGTTCTTCTTCAAGTATGTTAATGGAGGAGCGTATTAAACAACTTTCACCTTCACAAGATTTGAGGGAAGGCAGGGAAAGACATAATTATGGTATTTCCAGGTAGCCGTGGATGAATACATTTTATTCTTACAGCCGCGCTAGTAATAGCACAGATAAAATTTATCCTCCTGTACTCTGGATGGAAGAGCAGTAGATGACCTTTCTACTTACCCCTACTTGTGGAAAACTCCCCATCCTACCATCAACTACTGTGACAGTTTGCATACTTTGCCTTGTATACTTTGCCTTGTACTTTGTGAGCATCATGGGCACCTATTGGCTAGTGCCTGTACCATCATTAATGATGGCTAATGCAGCTTCTACCAACTGCCTCCAATATTTTATATCTCTATGAAATTTTAAAAATATCTTAAGAAGTAACAAGCTTCCTTGAAAAGCAGGGGGAAAGCCCTAGTACTATATGATTTAATTTTTTCCTGCTTTCCTCTCTCAACTTGTAATGTTATTTCATGTGAAGTCTTTTTTGTTGTCATGATAAAACAGTAGTGTTTAAAAATATAGTTCTCTGGTTTCTTCTTTTTCTGCCCTGTGAATGTTCATTTTCCACAGTCTATTTTACCACTGGGAAAATGCAATTTCTCCACAACAGAAGCAGTTCCTTTAGGACAGGCATCCAAATGCCCCTCAATAACTGAGCAACAACTTTTCATACTATGCAAAAAAAAAAAAATCATCTTGGCAATTTTATGGAAGGGAGGGAGAAGCCTTGGAGGGCCGTTGCTGGGGGCCACGGATGTTGTTGCTGTCGGCGGGGGGGGGGGGGGGACACAACAGAAAAGTGAATTAATCTTACCTGAGCTGACAATACCAAAGCACAGCAGTAGTAAAATTGGCAGACTTCCAAAATACATTTTCAGATAAATTTAGCTGTATCTTCTTCTCTGGGGGGGACACACACACACACCACATTTATTTATTTAAAATTATTTATAAGCCTACCTTTGGGGTATAATCTGGAGGCAAGTCATATTAAAAATTATAAAGCAAACATTAAAGCAACAGGTTTAAAGGCATATTAAAGCCAATCGAAGAACACTAAATTACCCTCTACCACTGGGTATTCTCCCTTTGCTCAGGTTGCCCCCAAAACTCTCTGTGGAACAGCACCATTTTTCAGCCTCGTTGGAAAGCCAGGAGGCAAGGTCCTCTCCTGGGAGGCTGTTCCAGAGCCACAGGGCAGCCCTGAAAACGGAGGAGAGGAGAACAATACAAGTTGTTTTGGGTTCCCACTGGGGAGAAAGGCAGAGTATAAATGCATTAAATAAATAATAAATAAAGCTGAAGACTAGGGGAGCAAGGAATCTTGGTAGGTGGGAAGGAGAAGCAGGGAAAGTGTAGGAGATATAGGGGCTTCTAGGAGGAGGGGAAAAGGAAATAGCAAGGGGCAATACAGGGGGAAATGAGGTGTTCCCCACAAGTCCGTGCAGGTTCCCCACTTGTATTTATCTATCTGCTTACTTCAAATAAAGAGCTGCGGTGGCTCAAGTGGTTAAGACGCTGAACTGCAGGCTGTGGAAGGTCAGTAGTTCAGCAGTTCAAGACCCGGGTGCCGCAAGACGGAGTGAGCTCCCGTCTCTAGTTCCAGCTCCTGCCAACCTAGCCGTTCGAAAGCAAGAAATTGCAAGTAGATAAATAGGTACCACTTCAGTGGGAAGGTAACAGTGTTCCGTGCGCCTTGGTGCTTAGTCATGCTGGCCACATGACCACGGAAACGTCTTCGGACAGCGCTGGCTCTTCGGCTTTGAAACGGAGATGAGCACCGCAACCCTAGAGTCGGATTCGACTGGCTTTCGAGCAAGGGAACCTTTACTTTACCTTACTTCAAATATATACAGACAGAAATGCTCAGAAGCCAGTGGGTAAAGGAAAGCACCAGTGAAGGCTGCTCTGCTCATGGACTTCCCAGGGGCATTGGGTTGGCCACTGTGAAAATTTCTCCCCAAGGAAACAGAATGTTGGATTAGGCAGACCTTTAGTCCGGCTCATGAGGGTTCTTCTTAAATTCTGCTCATCAGATCACCACGGCAGAAGAATCCGATGCTTAACTCAAGATTGTAAAAACCATGCGCCAGATCACCAGTAGCATGGCAACCAGGCAGGAAAGCATCCACCAACTGGAGGAGAATTGGTTCTTCCTTCCCTCCTCCAACCTACAGACTACCCAAATGCCATAAACAGCCTATGCAGAAACAGGTGAACAGGAGGCTAAACATTTGCAGAGACACACTTGCAGGCAAGGTAGGCTTAACACGGCTAGCCATAAAATTTCCTTTTGTAACTCCTATGGAGAGTTTCAGATGCGCAGAGAGCTCCAAATTTGCAGTGCTTCCCCCTCCATCAAAATGAACAGAAAAACTATTCGCATTGTAGCTCCATGCACCCATCGGAGGACATATGAAGCCAAGATCCTGCACACTTCCTGGCCAGACTGCCTCTATTCTTTACTCGAATGGCCTCCTTCCCGAAAAAATTATTTCCCCTCACGCCACCCTGAGTTCTCCATATGTGCACAACCAAGAATCCAGAGGAAGAGATCTCTGTGCTGGGTGAGAGAGCTCTGCCAGGGCTCCCTTCTAGTCCGGTGGTGGTGGGTACACCTCAAGGGGGTAAAACCTCCCCTGGCTTTTCCCAGGCCAAAGACTCACAGCACTTCTGTCTTCTGTAAAGATCATGTCAAAGTGAAGGAAGATTCTCATTCTCTCTCTACCCTTCTAGTTTTGGCAGCCCCAAGAGCCGCTTGTGTTGCTTGACAAAAACAGACCATGGTCTAACGAACTAGGCAGGCAAACCCAGAAATGTGCCATAGACTCAAACATCCCATAGAAATGGGGAAAGTGTATAACACTTACAGGAATAAATTTTCAAATTCATCTAAGATTCTTCAAATTCTTACCTTTTCCTTCTTTGAAGAATGTTAGATGAACTTGAAAAATTATTCCTGAAAATGTTATACATTTTCCCCTTTCCTGCGGGATGTTTGATGAAGCATTACTGCACAAGATGAATACTATTATTATCAGATAACATTGTATATATTTCGTTGTTGAATCGCTAGTGAATTGTTTGAATATGTGTGTGTGTGTGTGTGCATGTTTTATTACTGTCTGGAGCAATGTTCCCTCTAAGCTGCGGAGTCTTGTGAGTAAAAATGCCACTTTGTGAGCTACTGACATTAAATTTGTGAGCAAGCCATTTGGCTCCTACATAAATCGGTTTGCTCTGGAGCCCCATCCTTCCTGAGCTCAGACAAAAATGTGTGAGCCGGAGGCTAAAAAACTGTGAGCTAGCTCACACTAACTCAGCTTAGAGGGAACACTGGAGTCTACTTTACGGTACATTTCTCCTTTGTTTGGCTGCTTGTGTTGCTGGGGCAAAGAGCCAGCTTTGCCTTTCCACAAAGTCTTAAGTGTGCACCAGCGCTGGATTAACCATTTAGCAAAATAAGTACGTGCTTAGGGCACCAGAGGAAAGGGGGCCACCATGGAGTCCCCCCCCCCGCTAGTTAACTCTTTCACTGCCACACTTGACTTTGTCCTTATCTGCTGTGTTCAACTTTAATCTGCATTGTTAAAAAACCATGGCCTCCCGGAGGTTGCTGTCACCCACCCACAGATAACCGGCCAGATCCAGTTATATCAATGGGCTGGAGTCTCCCAACGGCAAGCTGCAACCACTGATTTTATATGTTTATAATCTGTTTTAAATTTTATTGTATTTATTAATCTGATGTAACCCACCCTGAGCCCGTTTATGGAATGGGTAGGATATAAATGCAAAAAAATATTTTATGTTGTTATTTATTGGTTTTACTGTTTTATCCTGTTTTTATGCATGGGCTTGTGCCCTCTTGTAAGCTGCCTTGAGCCCGCTTGCGGGGAGGGCGGGGTAAACATGTTAACAATAAATAAATAATGCCTATGATTACATGGCTTCCCAGACATTTCCACCACATTTGTCCTGCCTATAGACCAGGACTGGGACAATTTTTCAGACTGAATGTTACAGTGGGGTCTTTGCCCACGGGCGAGGACTCCAAGTTATTCACTGGGAAGGGCCGTGGCTCAGTGGAAGAGCCCCTGCTTGGCATGCCCAGGTTCCCAAGTCCCAAGTTCAGTCTTCGCCATCTCCAGTTGAAAGGACCAGGCAGTGTGTGATGGGAAAGACCTCTGCCTGAGACCCTGGAGAGCCACTGATAGTCTGAGTAAACCACACTGACATTGATGGACTGATGGTCTGACTCAATAAAAGGCAGTGTCATACCTGTTCATGGATGCATTCAGATGGGGCATTTGCAACGGTATAGGTGCCGGTTGGAATCGGTGTACTTACTGGCGTTCACACGACGAACATCTGCCTTCCGTCCCTAACCGTTGCAAAGAGCTTTACACCGTTGTATTCTGCCACTAGGTCCCCAAGTAGTGGTATCCTGAGTGCAATGGTTGTAATCACTTTACCCCTGTCTGATCACTCTCCAACGTTGTAGAGCCACTTCCGTTCGGAAGCCCAAGGCTTCCGATTTTCGCCCGCCATTTTTTTTCTTAGGTCGGCGATATGCGCCCACCATTTTTTTTGTTAGGTCGGTGATATGCGCTTAGGCGAAGCTTCACCCTGGCGTTTATTTTTAAAAAGAAGAAAAGGTCCTTAGTTTAAGGTTTTGGAGGACTCCGAGACCTCAGGAAGGCCAGTTTGGTATTTAAACTTTAAAGGTAAGTCCTTATCTTTAAACTTTAAATGTAAGACAGGGTGTTTTGCACATGCGTGAAGATCGCCATTCTGTGGATGGCTGCCTATGCGCATGCTCAAACTGAGTTTTTAAAAACAAAAACAAAAACAAAAACGCCGACGCCCGCTGCATGTGAACGGGCATACAGCCATGGGCTCCGCAGACAGGAAGTAAGTGTGATCACGTTTCAGCCGGCATAAACTGCACCGGTTCCAACCGGTACAGTTTATGCCGGCTGAAACGCCCCGTCTGAACGCACCCAAAATGTGACAGAATAAACACGGCTGGCACAATACTACAGCAGGTGCTATCACGTACCAGTAGTATCTCTCCTTATATGTAATTGAGAAAGGGAGCGGAGAAAAAATGTGCACCGCTGCAAAGGGACGCTGGAACACGGAGGCTGCGAGGCCAGCCCCGAGAAGCGGAATGTCAGCCAGGGGGACGGCAGAGGCTGCCGACGGCGGGTGAGGAGCTCATTCACTCCACTACCTTCTTCGGGGGGCCGCCTGGCCTCAGGGACGAGGGAGAGGCGGCGACCCCCCTCCCGCCGTGCCGACCACCGCCTCCATGCACCGCGCGACGATGATCCAGCGCGGCCGGAGGCACTGGCCCCGGCCGCGCACGTCTTCTCCGCCTACCTCTCCACCGGTGAGAGCCAAAGTCCTTCAGTGGGGCGAGACTGTGGCCCTGACAAGTGCGAGGCCGCTTTCTGGCAGCCGCACCGGGCAGCCTTCGCCGGCCAGGCTGCAGGCCTTACATTGAAGGGGTCTCCGCTGGCCCCACCCACGCTTGGGGGTGGGGGAGGCCCCAGCCCCCTTTCCACAAGCGGACAGCTCTCCCTAGGGCCCATTGCCTCCTCCCGCAACAGGCATTTCCCCTAGTTAGTTAATAACACTACAACACAACAGCTACCAGGAGCAGCCATTTCCTTCTGAAGTCCTTAGCAGCTCCCTCAGTTTCATTCAAAGTGCTGTAGTAGCATCAACTGAACAACGCTTAGGTCTGTTGAAGTGCATTATGTTATGTCTTGACAGCAAACAGCACTCTTGACATGCATAACATGGTAACTTTGGTATCTGCCCCCCATGCCACCAGGCTACACTACTGCATACATAAACTGTAAAT